TCGTGCTTGAAGTCGTTGGTCGAGGCGGCACGAGCAAGGGGCAGCTGGAGTCCTCCATCTTGAGTCACCACCGACGTTCCTTGAGGACCTTCATGGAAGGTGGCACGACGGAGAGCGAACGAAAGCTGGAACACGGACTGCCGCGAAGAAGGCGGAAGTTTCGCGATGTACGGGGTGTGGTAGATGTGCCCAAAAGCAACGGTGTGCGGTGGGGGGAATTGTGCACGGACAAGTGTTTGATGCCAGCCCATCCAAAAAGAGCTGCCAATCTGTCCTCATCGTGGAAGGTGACACCTTCTGCAGGCATCTCCAGCGGGCGGGACAGGAACGCTGTATCTCCAACGTGGAACTCGTACACCATGGTTGCCGCCGCAAACGATGCTCCGTCTTCAGCACCAGCCGGAAGACCCAAAGTCACCGAAAACTCCGGAGTCGCTGTCCTCTTCCGCTCCTTCTCGTTCGTCGGAGACGCCGCCACCTCCCGCTCCTTCTCGTGCGGCGAGGCGGTACGATGGGAACCAAGGTGCACCTGGGATTGCGTGGGGGGGGGGACGATGACACGGCGACGGAGGTGGGGGGCTGCTCGCGGGTCCTGGTGACGGGGCTCCAGCTCCTTCAGCCGCGATCGGAGCGCCCCCTGCTTCGCTCTAGCCGCTTGGAGATACGCCTAACGCTCCGCCAGAACAGCCGCACGCTCCTCCTCCTGCTTCCTCGCCGCAGCAGCCAGAGCAGCCTCACGTTCCTCCTCCTGCTTCCTCGCCGCAGCAGCCCGAACAGCCTCACGCTCCTCCTCCTGCTTCCTCGCCGCAGCGGCCAGAGCAGCCTCCCGTTCCGCCAAGCGCTCCGCGTCCTCGCGCTTCGCCTGCTCTCGCGCCTCCGCCTCTGCTATCTTCCCGGCAAGACCGTCGCACCACATCTCGTTCAACCTTTGGTACGCCATAAACTCGTCGTGGGGCAAGAGGATTAATCTGTCTTCCGGCGGGAGCGAGAAAGGAGGAACGAAAAGGGGGGAATCGGACGACAGATGGGCCGCTTCTACGATATCCTCCAGAGAGACACGTCCGGTGTTGTAGGCCCGCTCCAGTTCCGCCGGATCTGCTGTGGCGATGTTGTCCAGCAAATCATCGACGGTGAACACCATGGACATGGGGGGGCTCTCGTCTTCTGCACTCGCCGCTGGAAACTGCTCTGCGGTGGGAGCCTCGCCCTCGGGTTCGTAGTCGAGGATTTCCACATTGTCGCCCAGGAGTTCCACGTTGCCGCTGGACATGGTGTCCTCTTTGTTAACAAGAACAGGGCCAGAGAGAGGGTAGCTACGATCGATTTTGGAAAGGGCAGCAGGGCCAGAAACAGTAGATGTAGGATAACCAACCGCAGTTGAGGCAGCAGCACCAAGAGCAGCAGAAGCAGTAAAGCCGGGTGCAACTTCGGGAAGAGCAAGCCGAGGTCCATGCGAAAGGCGGAGATATCCACAAGATAGCATATGTCCAGTGATAAAAGCTTGGTGCACACGAGGTTGAAGCGGATCCAACCAAGCAGAAAAAGCGTCCAAAAGCACACCATGCCACGCACAAACAGCAGTAGAAGCTAGCACAAAAGGGCCCGTGTTGCATGGAGACACGAGGTTTTCCGACCAAAAGACACGCAGAGCAGCACGGCGTTCCTCCGCAACTGGTGCCGAAGTGCGAGCAAAGACCGCTGTGGGTTTGCGCTGTTGAAAGGTTTCCAATTCAAATGCTTTGAGGGTGAACGATTCCCCGAAAAGTAGTGCCATGTGATTTCGGAAAATGGAGGGAAGGCTGGTGGGGCGGCTGACACCCAATTTGTGTGCACACATCGCGTTCCAAGTCGATGCAAGCGGAGTCAAATCGGACAGCACAACAGGAAAATCCGCGGACATCGGCCGGTACGCCGGCATGAATGCAGTAGAGGTGGTAGCAGACGTGGGAAGCATGCTGTCATGTCGGGTCCCACTACACAAGGCCAGCAACTCAGGACGCTCATGCAGAGGGTATCCGCCACAGAAATCACTTCATGGACCGCCGATGCAGACAAAATAGCTTTCGAGGGACGGCGAACGTGCGGAAAATCACCCATAACATCGCGATGGCCTCCAAGGCGCGTATCCTTTGCAAGGTCCCAGTCCCGCGGGCGCTTCGCACAAGCATCACGAGCCAGCATCTCTACAGGAGAGGAAGCGGAGATGCGGCTAAGTCTAGATTCTCGTGGGTGGTGAGACCAAACAACAAGCAACCCGGTGGTTGTGAAAAAAGCGGTTTGCCCACAGCAGTGTGGAAGCCGCGTCCAGCACCCGCTTACCGTGTAATGCCACCTGACGCCAAGTTTCAAGGAGCGATGCCGTGGGCGGTAGCTTGCTCCTAGAGATAGATGAAGGTTCTATCGTTGACACGCTTGTCCACGACCACGTTGAGATGGGAAAGTTGCTTGTTATTGCTGAGAGACGATCAGCAAGGGTCTGGGATGAAGTGGCGATCCAACTTCATCTCAGGGGGTACACAGAGTAGACAATTCTAAGGGGGTAGGGGTCAGAAGGGTGTACCTCCTGACCGACCCGCATCCTATCAACAATAAGATGTAGACCCTATTCATGCTAGCAGCCACACTCCTTAACACGGCCCCCTCCACACTCCCTGTACAAATATTGCCTACTCGTTTTCCCACTTCGCCTCCTTAGCAATTTTCGGCAAACTCTCCTCTCTTCCATATTTTTCATACGGTATTGCCGTTCCATACTTCTCCGGCGTAACTCTAGCGTGGATGACAACGCTTGCAAATGTAAAACTTTATATATTGTATGTAGACTACAACTATTTGACGGGTGTAGCTTTTGTATTTGATGGGTTTTATCGAGATGGAGGCGTCTGTATTGATGAGCATGACTATTATGCAACGAGTGGTGTATGAGCGCCGACGACTCTAAAACCCGCAGGAACAACCGTATACCATACATACCCGCACGACACACCATATACCGCACATACCCCACAGTAGCCACACAAAACCACCAACGCTTGTTGACGGGCACATTGCCTCCAAGGGTACCAATCTCCGATAGCCTCCTCCTCCGTAGATCGCGGCGAAAAACCAACCGCCGTGCCCGGCCCCCGGAGGCAGGTCCTAACCACACACAACACACCTCACCCACGCACCACACGGCGGTCATCATGCTGGGGAGTGGCAAACATCATTACAAAGACGCGAAAGCCTTAAGGCTAGATGTGGCGGCCATGTTCTCGGCAGCTGGCCGTAGCTTTCATTCCGGAAAGGGAGGCGGCAGGCAGAAGAAGTACATCTGCAATGGCCCCGCAGGAGGATGCCAGGCGACCGTGCGCGCCTGCAGGCAGAGGTCGGGAGAGTCCAAGGTGACGTTCTTCATCCCGGAACACAACGACTGCTCTGGCGGCAAGGTCGGAGCGAAAGCGGCTGCGCTCGAGGGCTTCGCCAGTGCCGCCCTCCTTGTTGCACGGTGCATGTTGTAACCCATTGGAGTATTTTTTGCAGGATATTCCTGTTCTAACACCACGTAGACTACGTTGAATGCAGTCAAACCCTTGTGTCGAGTGTCGTTGTCATTTGCGCGCCCGGAGATGTGTTCACGAGGATGTGGTCAACCGTCTGGGGTATAGGCGGACGAACGCACTGGCCCCCCATTACCCCTCTTGTACCTAGTCTAGGGGGGGGGGAGGTGTACTGATGTAAACGCATGCCGTAGTCGCTAGACCATTGACCTCGAATCCCTACAAAGCCGGGACGGAGCACGCCGGGTTCTCACCGGACCAGGCTCTCACATCACCAAGCGCAAAGCGCCGCGAGGTACTCGGCGAGTTGCATGAAGGGTGCGCTGCATCCTGCTAAGGGTGTTCGGAATCGCGCGCTTGCTTCCTTGCATATGGATTACAGCTGCAAATGACTTGATCATTTATTTTCTGGTGTTTTCACTTGCTCTTTGCACTTCCAGAGACAGTTATGGGGACTGTGTAACTGCCTCGAAGGTGCTCGCCCAATTTAACACAAGGTGGTGCGATCATCCCCCTTGCGCGGAGTGAGGGTTGCATTACGGTCACCGCAATAAACAAATGCGGTAACCTGGTTGTCGAGCTCACGAAGCGATCGGCTTGTTTACAACGTCGTTGCCAAGCGACGAAAACCCAACCCCGGGGGTACCGGGCGAGGGTATAGTAGACGATACAGGGATCAACACTCACCAAGGGGAAGGAGAAGTACCGCCTCGACTTCGTCATCCTCATGCGTCAGACGGACCGGCGTTTCGTGCGTAATGCCTCCGTCAGACGTGTCGACTTCAAGGACTCTGACCACAACCTCGTGCTTACGACTGTCCGCCTCCCCCCCCGTGTCGCACCCAACCGACGAGTGCGGGGGAACAGCGGAAGCAGCCGGATCCGTATCGACCTCGAGCGGTTGAGGAAGGACAAACACCTACGGGTCGCCTTCCAAAACAGGGCCTCCAGCCGCCCTCCGCCCACGGCGCTCAGGCGGCCAACGGGAGAGACCGCCGCCGAGCTGACGGCTACGGTGATGTCGGCCGCTGCTGAGACCGCGCCACTGGCGAGGTGCGCACGAGGGCCGAGAGGCTGGTACACGAGCGAAGCACAGCACGAGATCTCCGAAGCGTCGAAGGAGACTAAGGCGGCCCAGCAGCAACTGC